GGAGGAATAGTGCCCCATCATTGGTGTCAGTAGGAGGAATAGTGCCCCATCATTGGTATCAGTGGGAGGAATAGTGCCCCATCATTGGTATCAGTGGGAGGAATAGAGCTCCATCATTGGTGTCAGTGGGAGATATAGTGCCCCATCATTGGTGCCAGTGGCAGGAATAGTGCCTAATCATTGGAGTCAATGGGAGATACAGTGCCCCATCATTGGTATCAGTGGGAGGAATAGTGCCCCATCATTGGTGTCAGTGGGAGGAATAGTGCCCCATCATTGGTATCAGTGTGAAGAATAGTGCCCCATCATTGGTTTCAGTGTGAGGAATAGTGCCTCATCATTGGTGTCAGTGGGAGGAATAGTGCTTCATCATTGGTTTCAGTGTGAGGAATAGTGCCTCATCATTGGTGTCAGTGGGAGGAATAGTGCTTCATCATTGGTTTCAGTGTGAGGAATAGTGCCCCATCATTGGTATCAGTCAGAGGAAGAGTGTGTCCCATTATTGGTGTCAGTGGGAGGAATAGTGCCCCATCATTGGTATCAGTGGGAGGAATAGTGCTTCATCAGTGGGAGGAATAGTGCCCCATCATTGATATCAGTGGGAGGAATAGTGCCCCATCATTGGTGTCAGTGGGTGGAATAGTGCCCCATCATTGGTATCAGTGGGAGGAATAGTGCCCCATCATTGGTGTCAGTGGGAGGAATAGTGCCCCATCATTGGTATTAGTGGGAGGAATAGTGCCCCATTATTAGTGTCAGTGGGAGGAATAGTGTCCCATTATTGGTGTCAGTGGGAGGAATAGTGCCCCATCATTGGTATCAGTGGGAGGAATAGTGCCCCATCATTGGTGTCAATGGGATGAATAGTGCCCCATCATTGGTGTCAGTGGGAGGAATAGTGCCCCATCATTGGTGTCAGTGGGAGGAATAGTGCCCCATCATTGGTGTCAGTGGGAGGAATAGTGCCCCATCATTGGTGTCAGTGGGTGGAATAGTGTCCCATCATTGGTATCAGTGGGAGGAATAGTGCCCCATCATTGGTGTCAGTGGGAGGAATAGTGCCCCATCATTGGTATTAGTGGGAGGAATAGTGCCCCATTATTAGTGTCAGTGGGAGGAATAGTGCCCCATTATTGGTGTCAGTGGGAGGAATAGTGCCCCATCATTGGTATCAGTGGGAGGAATAGTGCCCCATCATTGGTGTCAATGGGATGAATAGTGCCCCATCATTGGTGTCAGTGGAAGGAATAGTGCCTCATCATTTGTGTCAGTGGGAGGAATAGTGCCCTCAAGGACAAGATAAAGGCAAGCAAAGGGCCACATCCTGCTCACAGTTTGGAGACCCCTGATCTGATCTTGTGTATAGAACATTTTGGACAATCAATCTCACACAAGTCAGAGTTTTGCAAAGCACCCAGGCAGTGTTAGGGTTAAAAAGAGAAACTGGGATGCCCCGTTGTTGGTGCCAGAGGTAGGGATAATGTTTTATCATTGGTGTCAGTGGGAGGAATAGTTCCCCATCGTTGGTGTCAGTGGGAGGGATAATGCCCTATTGTTGATGTCAGTGGGAGAAATAGTTCCCCCGTCATTGGTATCAGTCGGAGGAATGGTGCCCTATCGTTGGTGTAAGTGGGAGGAATAGTGCCCCATCATTGGTGTAAGTGGGAGGAATAGTGCCCCATCATTGGTGTAAGTGGGAGGAATAGTGCCCCATAGTTAATGTCAGTAGAAAGGTTAATACCCTATCATTGGTGTCAGAGGAAGGAATAGTGCCTCAAATCAGTTGGAGGAACAGTGCCCCAATGGCAAGATAAAGCAAGCAAAGAGCAATGTCCTGCCAACAGTTTGGAGACCCCTGATGTTGTGTATAGAACATTTTGGACAATCTCACACAAGTCAGAAGTTTGCAAACCACTCAGGCAGTGGTAGGATTAAAAAGAGAAACTGGGATGCCCCCTTGTTGGTGTCAGGAGAAGGAATAATGTGTTATCATTGATGTCAGTAGGAGGAATAGTGCCCCATCATTGGTGTCAACTGGAGAAATAGTGCCCCATTGCTGGTGTCAGTGGGAGGAATAGGTCCCCATCGTTGGTGTCTGTGGAGGGATAATGGCCTATTGTTGGTGTCAGTGGGAGAAATAGTGCCCCGTCGTTGGTGTCAGTGGGCGGAATGCTGCCCCATCATTGGTGTCAGTGGGAGGAATAGTGCCCCGTCGTTGGTGTCAGTGGAAAGGATAATATTCTGTTATTGGTATCAGTGAAAGGAATAGTGCTTCACATCAATGGGAGGAACAGTGTCCCAATGGCCACAAAGGGCCACATCCTGCCCACAATTTGGAGACCCCTGATCTTGTGTATTTTGGACAATCTCACACAAGTCAGAATTTTGCAAAGCACTCAGGCATTGGTGGAGTTAAAAGGAGAAAATTGGATGCTTCCACCCCTATTTAGAAGGCAATATGGGGGCATTCCGCTCTTCATGTGCCTGAAGAAGCTTTCACCTCCTCAAGGGACAGTTTAATGTGCGTGCACTCCTGTACAGGCAATGAGGCTCAGATATTAGCGACTTTTTCCAATTTCACACGGCACTGCACCCCACTTCCTGCCTGATGCTTGCATAGAGTTAATGGCCCGGGGATGTGTTACGAGTGAACCTCGGAGTGTAGGCTCCCGGCCTCGGCGTGCCATGTGATTCGCTCTACTATGGCGGCACAGATCGTAAATCCACCAGCGGCCTCCAAGTTATAAATGTCTTTCCCAAATGATTACACATGTGTATGAGCAGAACAGACAGTGACCGCAGTCTGTGGGGTGGTGACAACGGCAAGACACGAGCGCCCTGTGCGCCATTACTGTACTCACCAAGCGGAGTCATAAAGTTTCAGGTAAATTTGCAGCTCCACTGACACGACTTACATTGTCGCTGCGGATTTACCCAGGTGGAGGGAAAGTAATGCAGAGCCGTCACAGGATCGCCTGAGAAGAGTTTTATCGTTTGTTTTATCAAGTCCAGTGAGAGCGAAGAGAACCTCCAGCCTGGGAATACCAAGATGTCTTAATAAATACACGGCTCAAAAGAAATGAAAGGAAGACTTTGAAAACCCATCAGATCTCAATGGGGAAAAATCTCTTGCTGGATCTCTATACTGGTATGTGCTGGATCATGTGTGAGGAAGGTAAGGACGCCCCCATCGTTTGATGGAAATGAAAATGATCGACCTACAGAGGACTGAATTCAAAGATGCCCTGAAAATCAAACTGACAAAATGATGCAGCAGGCGAGTCCATTGTGCTGAAATGTCATTGTAGCAACTCAGAATGGTCCTCAGTAGTCTGTATGGCCCCCACGTGCTTGTATGCATGCCTGACAACGTCGGGGGAGGCTCCTAATAAGACGACGAATGGTGTCCTGGGGGATTTCCTCCCAGATCTGGACCAGGGCATCACTGAGCATCTGGACAGTCTGCGGTGCGATCTGGCGGCGTCAGATGGACCGAAACATGATATCCCAGAGGGGTTCTATTGGATTTAAGTCAGGTGAGTGTGGGGGCCATTCAATGGTATCAATTCCTTCATCCTCCAGGAACTGCGTGCATACTCTCCCCACATGAGGCCAGGCATTGTTGTGCACCAGGAGGAACCCAGGACCCATTGCACCAGGAGGAACCCAGGACCCCCTGCACCAGGTGGAACCCAGGACCCCCTGCACCAGCGTAGGGTCTGACAATGGGTCATCCCGATACCTAATGGCAGTCAGGGTGCCATTGTCTAGCCTGTAGAGGTCTGTGTGTCCCTCCATGGATATGCCTCCCCAGACCATCACTGACCCACCACCAAAACGGTCATGCTGAACCATGTTACAGGCAGCAGAACGTTCTCCACGGCTTCTCCAGACCCTTTCACGTCTGTCACATGTGCTCAGGGTGAACCTGCTCTAATCTGTGAAAAGCACAGGAAGCCAGTGGTGGACCTGCCAATTCTGGTGTTCAATGGCAAATGCCAGTTGAGCTCTATGGTGCCGGGCAGTGAGCACAGGGCCCACTAGAGGACGTCAGGCCCTCAGGCCACCCTCATGAAGTCTGTTTCTGATTGTTTGGTCAGAGACATTCACACCAGTGGCCTGCTGGAGGTCATTTTGTAGGGCTCTGGCAAAGCTCATCCTGTTCCTCCTTGCACAAAGGAGCAGATACCGGTCCTGCTGATGGGTTAAGGACCTTCTACGGCCCTGTCCAGCTCTCCTAGAGTAACTGCCTGTCTCCTGGAATCTCCTCCATGCTCTTGAGACTGTGCTGGGAGACACAGCAAACCTTCTGGCAATGGTATGTATTGATGTGCCATCCTGGAGGAGTTGGACTACCTGTGCAACCTCTGTAGGGTCCAGGTATGGCCTCATGCTACCAGTAGTGACACCGACCCTAGCCAAATGCAAAACTAGTGCAAAACAGTCAGAAAAAGATGAGTAGTGAAAAAAATATCAGTGGCCTCCACCTGTAAAACCATTCCTGTTTTGGGGGTCGTCTCATTGTTGCCTATCTAGTGCACCTGTTGTTAATTTCATTAACACCAAAGCAGCTGAAACTGATTAACAACCCGCTCTGCGACTTACCTGACCAGATCAATATCCCAGGAGTTTCATTGACTCAATGGTAGACTCGGATTACAAAGTATTCCTTTCATTTTTGTTTTGCGCAGCGTGTAATTAAAGAGGACTTCCTAAATGCGATCCTCCATTTCTTAACTGAACATTTTTAACCCTCTTTGATAAAATGGGATTGCGCTAACCTTGTCACTGACAATAATTATAAAGCTGATTTTTTTTTCTTCCAGCTAGAGCAATGGCTGCAGGTTCTTAACCTCTTCACGCCGCCCGCACACAAATGTGCGGCCTCCCGGCGTCTGGGCCTAGACGCCGAGCGGCCGCACATTTGCGTGCAATTAACAAAAAACATATGTGCTGAGAGCGCGCACCCTGCAGGGGTCACCCTACAGGGGTCACTGCTGGCAGGGCAGAGGACAGGGGTCACTGCTGGCAGGGCAGAGGTCACACAGGGGGTCACTGCTGGCAGGGCAGAGAACAGGGGGTCACAGCTGGACAGGGGTCAGGGCAGAGGACAGGGGTCACTGCTGGCAGGGCAGAGAACAGGGGTCACAGCTGGCAGGGCAGAGGACAGGGGTCACAGCTGGCAGGGCAGGGGACAGGGGTGACTGCTGGCAGGGCAGAGGACAGGGGTCAGCGCTGGTAGGGCAGGGGACAGGGGTCACTGCTGGGAGGGCAGAGGATAGGGGTCACTGCTAGCAGGGCAGAGGACAGGGGTCACTGCTGGCAGGGCATAGGACAGAGATCACTGCTGGCAGGGCATAGGACAGGGGTCACAGGTGGCAGGGCAGAGGACAGGGGTCACAGCTGGCAGGGAGGAGGACAGGAGTCACAGCTGGCAGGGAGGAGGACAGGGGTCACAGGTGGCAGGGCAGAGGACAGGGGTCACAGCTGGCAGGGCAGAGACAGGGGTCACTGCTGGCAGGGCAGAGGACAGGGGTGACTGCTGGTAGGGCAGAGGACAGGGGTCACTGCTGGTATGGTAGGGGACAGGGGTCACTGCTGGCAGGGTAGGCGACAGGGGTCATTGCTGGTAGGGCAGGGACAGGGGTCACTGCTGGTAGGGCAGAGGACAGGGGTCACTGCTGGCATGGCAGAGGATAGGGGTCACTGCTGGCATGGCAGAGGACAGGGGTCCACCGCTGGTAGGGTAGGGGACAGGGTCACCGCTGGCAGGGTAGGGGACAGGGGTCATTGCTGGCAGGGCAGAGGACAGATGTCACTGCTGGCAGGGCATAGCCCCCCCAGCACCCCCCTAGATCTGGCCATGCTCACAGCTAGCCTTAGACATCACATAGGAAGATGGGACAGAATACTACATGTACCTTGTCCCATGGGGAACAGAGCACATTTTGGACCCATGTTACATGTTACAGCCAAACTTAGAGTGTCACATGAAGCTTGGTTGCATAAACCAACCTCTTAAACCAGGGATGATCAACCCCTTGGGGCCCCCTGATGTGGCCCTCCACCTCAATCTGAATACAGGAGTTTTGGTGCGCTTTCAGAAAGAGATAATAGAAGTCAATAGCCTGTGATCCCCAACTGAACCGGACCGCACTGCTCAGAAATCGGACAGGACTCTTTCAATCCACTCCACCAGTGCACCGGACATACACTATTGTGCCAAAAGTATTGGTCGGCCGGCCTTTCCACATACATGACCTTTAATGGCCCCCAGTCTTACTCCGTAGGGTTCAATATTGAGTTGGCCCCGCCCTTTGCAGCTATAACAGCTTCAACTCTTCTGGGAAGGCCGTCCACAAGGTTTAGGAGGGTGTCTATGGGAAGGTTGGACCATTCTTCCAGAAGCACATTTGTCAGGTCAGGCACTGATGTCGGGGGAGGAGGCCTGGCTTCACAGTCTCCACTCTAATTCATCCCAAAGGTGCTCTATGGGGTTGAGGTCAGGACTCTGTGCAGGACAGTCAAGTTCCTCCACCCCAAACTGGCTCCTCCATGTCTTTATGGACCTTGCTTTGTGCACTGGTGAGCAGTCATGTTGGAACAGGAAGGGGCCATCCCCAAACTCTTCCCACAAAGTTGGGAGCATGAAATTGTCCAAAATGTCTTGGTATGCTGATGCCTTAAGAGTTCTCTTCACTGGAACAAGGGGGCCAAGCCCAACCCCTGAAAAGCAACCCCACATCATAATCCCCCTCCACCAAACTTTACACTTGGCACATTGCAGTCAGGTAAGTACCATTCTCCTGGCAACAGCCAAACTTAGACACATCCATCGGATTGCCAGACAGAGAAGCGTGATTGGTCACTCCAGAGAACACGTCTCCACTGCTCTAGAGTCCAGTGGTGGCGTGCTTTACACCACGGCATCTGACTCTTTGCATTGTACTTGGTGATGGAAGGCTTGGATGCAGCTGCTCGGCCATGGAAACCCATTCCATGAAGCTCTCTACACACTGTTGTTGTGCTCATCTGAAGGCCACACCAAGTTTGGAGGTCTTCAGCTAATGACTCTGCAGACAGTTGGTGACTTCTGCGCACTGTGCGCTTCAGCATGCACTGACCCCGCCCTGTCATGTGACGTGGCCTACCACTTGGTGGCTGAGTGGCTGTTGTTCCCAGTTGCTTCCACTTTATCATCCCACTAACAGCTGAGCGTGGAATATTTAGTAGCCAGGAAATGTCACGGATGGACTTATTGCACAGGTGGCCACCTATCACGGGACCACGCTTGGAGTCACTGAGCTCCTGAGAGTGACCCATTCTTTCACCAATGTTTGTAGAAGCAGTCTGCATGCCTAGGGGCTTGATTGTATACACCTGTGTCCATGGAGGGGATTGGAACACCTGAATCACATGATTGGGAGGGCGGGGCCAATACTTTTGGCAATATAGTGTATGTGAACAAGCACCATAGGAAGCAATGTTATTTCACATGTCATGCAGTTCAAACCACATCCAGTCCACATATATGTAAACCGGCACTTATTTATTTCAGGTACTTATATAGCTCCATCAATTTACACAGCACTTTACATATATATTGTACATTCACATCAGTCCCTAACCCTCAAGGGGGTGTACAATCTAAGGTCCCTAACCCTCAAGGGGCGTACAATCTAAGGTCCCTAACCCTCAAGGGGGTACAATCTAAGGTCCTTGACTCACATTCATACATACACATACTAGGGACAATTTAGACAGGAGCCAATTTACCTACCAGCATGTCTTTGGAGTGTGGGAGGAAACCGGAGTACCCGGAGTACACCCACACAGGCACAGGGAGAACATGAAAACTCCAGGCAGGTGGTGCCATTGTTGAGATCTGAACCAACAACCCGAGGCAGAAGTGCTAACCACTTAGCCACTGTGCTGCCCAATTAGGCTCCGTTCACATCTGGGCGTTTAGTATTGTGGGCAGAATCGTCGACTGACAAATTGCACCGCGCTTGTTCAGGCGCCATTCACTTTCAATGGCACCTAAACGCACGTGTGATTCTGACACCATTGTTACTACAATCGCCGCAAAGCTCGTCACCCCAGAAGAAGCTCCTGCACCTTTTTGGAGCATTGCCACGATTGCAGGGCGATATATCATTTAGGTGCCATCGAATGGCACCTGAGCAAGCGTGGTGCGACTTGTCAGTTTTGCAGAGCGTTTTGAGATCGCGGACAAAATTGTGGCGATTCTGCTTGCGATGCAAAAACACCCAGATGGGAACGGAACCTCACATGAGCCGGCACCTCAGTCCAGGAAGTAGATGTGACCCTGGATGATGCCTGAACAAAGATGGTGCTGTCCTTCTGCAGATGAAGGCATTGTCAGGGGAGCACTGTGATCTCTGAGAGGTCATAAATACCTGGACACGTTACACAAGTGGCTGCACCCGAGGCCGTGGATAAGAGGGTACCACCAGGGGGGCCAGGCAGAATCTGATGTGAGCAGGGAGAGTGATGGAGGGCATGGTGTGGGGGCAGGGGACATTACTGGAACCGATCCCCTATATGGTTCTCTCTGCCGCAGCTGAAAGCTGACTTCTTCTCCTCTCCCCCCTCCTCTCCCTCCCGCTGGCTTTCAGCTGCGGCAGAGGGAACCATTTAGGGGATCGGTTCCAGTAATTTCCCCCTCCCCCACACCTTGCCGATCAACCTCCCTGCCCACATCAGATTCACCCAGCTGCCTGTCTCTCACTCCAAAGACAGGCTATAGTAAGTTATTTGGCCTTAGTATGGGAGAGAGGAAACACGGGGGGCCTGGGCAAGAGCGGGAATCCTATGGTTCACAGGGAGGGTGATGGGTGCGGCGGGGGGGCTATTACTGGAACCGATCCCCTATATGGTTCTCTCTGCAGCAGCTGAAAGCTGGCTCCTTCTCTCCCTCCTGTTGGCTTTCAGCAGCTGCAGAGCGAACTATATAGGGGATCAGTACCAGTAACTGCCCCCCCCCCCCGCCGCACCCATCACCCTCCCTGTGAACCATAGCATTCCCCCTCCTGCCCAGGCCCCCCTGTGTACCCCCACCCCACAGTGCTGCCGGCTTCCCTTCTCTCCTTGCCACCGGCAGCTGCAATCACATAATAGTATCCTTCAGGATGTAGAGTGGGGGAAGGGTCCGGTAAATATGTCACATGTTCCACCCCCTTCCTTTCCTGAATGAACACAATGAGTGATTGGTACCAATCACTCGCTGTGTTCATTCATAACTGAAGCATGGTAAACTGCGTTTTGCTTGTTTGTTTTTTTTGGGGCGTGGGCTGTCAAGTTGGCTGTATGGGGCCCCATGGTTTCTATCAGCAGCCCTGGCTGCACCTAACATGAAAACTGCATGTGACAGGTCCTCTTTGGGCATCGAAGCTGTCAGTTCTGGAAGGAGCTCAAGCGACAGTTTGGAAGTGACCACACAAAATCCGCGTGTAATCTGAAATGAGATCCAGGTCTTATCTCGTCCTCTCCACTCTCCAATTCACAAGCCTCCCGGCTCCAGCACGGACCTACTCGGCTCATCTGATCTGCAGGACTAAAACCAATTGCAATCCATGGCTTTATCTGCTGGCCCTGGGAGGATGCCCATCTCCGCGTCACGGCCAACCATTAATCCACAGACATGGAGATCTGTATAGGAAGGCAATTCACTGACCGAGGCAGAGGAGACCGACGCAGAGAGGGGATGCTGCTCTCCGCAGGCCACATAGCAGTGCTAGGTACAGCGGCCGAGTGGCTAGCACTTCTGCCTTGCAGCACTGGGGTATTCAGTGCAAATCTCAGCCAGGGCATTCTCTGCATGGAGACTGGCTCTACCTTTCCTCCCCCACTCCAAAGACAGGCTATAGTAAGTTATTTGGCCTTAGTATGGGAGAGAGGGAACTTAGATTGTAAGCTCCTTGCTCCAGGGACTGATATAAACAGTATGTAGAGTGCTGTGTAGACTGTTGGTGCCATGCTATGTTATTAGGTTATTTTCTCCCCAGATCAGGGGCGGACTGACCATTTGGAAACTCAGGCACTGCCCGAGGGCCGGGGTCAGTAGGGGGCCCATGAGATACCCCTGGTACCTTTTTTCATAGGCTTTTTTGAGTATGGGCAAGGACACAGGGGCCCCATGATCCCCTATTGCCCGGGGCCCCATGAGTTGTTAGTCCGCCCCTGCCCCAGATCAATTATTATTGATTTCCACAGAACAGAAACAGGAAAATACTGCATTATGGCCACTAGGTGGTGCTGAGAACCACAGGAAATAAATGCTTATTTCCTATGATCCTCAGCTCCATCTGGTGGCCATTGGGAGGTATTTTCTAAACCACTCTTTTTTTTAAATTAAGCCCGGGTTCACACTGATGCGGTGCGGAA